AAATTGGTCAATAATTGTAGACTTTTTTGCATTTTATTAGAAAATTTAAATTAACAATCAAAATTGAGCCCAAAATTACGTTTTAAAGCTAGAATTGCACAAAAAACACGCTACCACAAGTTAAAATGTTCTACGACAAGTAGTTTTTGAAAAATTGGTCAATAATTGTAGACTTTTTTGCATTTTATTAGAAAATTTAAATTAACAATCAAAATTGAGCCCAAAATTACGTTTTAAAGCTAGAATTGCACAAAAAACACGCTACCACAAGTTAAAATGTTCTACGACAAGTAGTTTTTGAAAAATTGGTCAATAATTGTAGACTTTTTTGCATTTTATTAGAAAATTTAAATTAACAATCAAAATTGAGCCCAAAATTACGTTTTAAAGCTAGAATTGCACAAAAAACACGCTACCACAAGTTAAAATGTTCTACGACAAGTAGTTTTTGAAAAATTGGTCAATAATTGTAGACTTTTTTGCATTTTATTAGAAAATTTAAATTAACAATCAAAATTGAGCCCAAAATTACGTTTTAAAGCTAGAATTGCACAAAAAACACGCTACCACAAGTTAAAATGTTCTACGACAAGTAGTTTTTGAAAAATTGGTCAATAATTGTAGACTTTTTTGCATTTTATTAGAAAATTTAAATTAACAATCAAAATTGAGCCCAAAATTACGTTTTAAAGCTAGAATTGCACAAAAAACACGCTACCACAAGTTAAAATGTTCTACGACAAGTAGTTTTTGAAAAATTGGTCAATAATTGTAGACTTTTTTGCATTTTATTAGAAAATTTAAATTAACAATCAAAATTGAGCCCAAAATTACGTTTTAAAGCTAGAATTGCACAAAAAACACGCTACCACAAGTTAAAATGTTCTACGACAAGTAGTTTTTGAAAAATTGGTCAATAATTGTAGACTTTTTTGCATTTTATTAGAAAATTTAAATTAACAATCAAAATTGAGCCCAAAATTACGTTTTAAAGCTAGAATTGCACAAAAAACACGCTACCACAAGTTAAAATGTTCTACGACAAGTAGTTTTTGAAAAATTGGTCAATAATTGTAGACTTTTTTGCATTTTATTAGAAAATTTAAATTAACAATCAAAATTGAGCCCAAAATTACGTTTTAAAGCTAGAATTGCACAAAAAACACGCTACCACAAGTTAAAATGTTCTACGACATTCTTTTACACAAGTTAAAATATCCTAAGACAGTTCAGTCAATTTAAGTTTATTTTGAGTTAATTTTTTGATAAGCATCTAGAAGCAAAACTGTAGCTTTGCTTCAATCCCGGTTTTCACTATTTGATAGAAAATTATTTACAGAATCCAACAATGTTTTTATATTTGTTGTACGACTTGTAGTTTTCGAGAAAAATTCATTTAAAATTGAGAAAATATTTTTTTATTTTTTTATTTATACTAACGTAATAATACAAAATTTAACTCAAAATTAAGTTTTTTTGACGTAAAAA